CTAATAAGCAAAACGCAGAGATTTAGCACAAGTTGTAAAGAAAAAAAAATTATCTAGCTTAATTACTGTCAGTCACTTCTGATGTGATTGAATAGCTGTTCTCAACAGAAGAGTTTGGAGTACCATACGTGCTATTTAATTTGATTGGGTCGGGTACCTTATCTAAATCACAGTGCATGGTATATGTAATGATACCAGAAAGAGATGATAGCACTTTGGTGATGGTCTTTCAGGACTACATGCTTGGAATGGAGTAGCTTTTTCTGCAGTTGTTAACTAAGCTAGAGTTGAAGAGCCTGTTAGTATTTGATAACTTGTGCATCGAACCAAGCGGATCTAAATTCTGTTCCCTGTTATGCACATCTGACACTTGCCATGTATCTATCCATTCAGAGCTATCTTTTATTTCCGTAGTGTAACTATAAGCAAAACTTAATATGTAGATTTGGTCAAATATGCACAGAAAGTAGATTTTCTGGGTGAAGGAGATGCAGTTTTACAGTTACCTGTCAAGAGACTTCATTTTGAGAAAAAGTTTCTTCTAATGGAATACTTTGTGAAATCAGATATGAAAAGTAATATAAAATCACTTATGCATATTTGCTGACACCTTGTGATACTTTCTGATGTGTTTTACAAAATGCTCCTTGAAACATAAACCTGATACTGGTTCACCTAATTAGTTTGTAGGCTGACTGAAATCTGAGATTATGGAAATATTAAGTAAATGAATTAAAATGCATTTTTGTAAACCAGCACACTAGAAAGTCAAAACTCGCCTATTGAACAAAAAGTAATTCTATAGAAACTCATTATGGGTCTGAGCATTTACATTCTGTATGATTGCTACATAATACATGGTTTTTTTCTTGTGCAACAAGTGACCAGAGGACTGCTATTGGTATCTTGTATGTCTGCTGTGTTCAGTAGCACTAGCTGTGTGCCAGTAATGGGAGCAGCGGACACAGGGCAGCTTTAGTCCTGTATGCTGATGAGTTATAAACACATCATAGCTCTAGCTCTGCATGTCCTAGTGAAGTCCTGTCCCAAAGATAACTTTTTAGTACAAATCTGTGCACTGCATGGTTTTGGAAAAGGAGATGGTTGAAGTCTGCCAGCTGAGAAGCAGCATGAAAATGCTGCAACTGCATGCGTGCCATGTCATTTGGTGTCTTCTATCTCTGTAACTATGTCATGTTGTAAAACCGACAACGCTTTCTCTTGAATTCGAGCCTCCTGTCTCCAATTCCCCTTTCTTCCCATTCCAAAAGTATACAGGAAGCTCGATTCCTCTGTTATGGATATAAAATCAACATATATCACTATAACTCCAGTGAAGCGAAATGAACAGGATGAGTAAACAGACAGGTCCTAGTTACTTCTCTTCTTGGAAAAAATAGGCCAGAGAAGTTGAAGTTGTCTGAAAACGCTTATTTTTTTTTTTCTAAGGCAAATTTTACATAAGTTGATTTTCTATAAATTGGTGGTCTCCCTGGAAAATCAGGATTTGCCAAACTCTTTTAATGCTAGGTTGCTCGGGAGCAGAGGGTTGATACCAAGGAGTTGTGTCCAGAAGTAAAGGCTTTCCCTTCTCCCCTGTCCTGGTGGAAGAGTCTATTATTTCAGGAGTACTGTTAATAATCATTATTTAAAAAATGGTGAGGCTGCTCTCTGCAGTAATGCTTTATGAAATATGTAAGAAGTGAATGCAAACCTCTGTGGTTTCTTCTGGAAAGTAGAGGAGCATGCTTTCTTCTTTGACTGAAATGCCAGAAGCATTTAGCTGTGCTTTGCAGTTCTTGCCTGTACCACCCATGAAATAGTACTCTTATCCCAGAAGAGGTACCCAATACAATAGATATTAATTTGCATAAGAGGCTGTTTTCTAATTATGAGCAGTTTGTGTGTCCAGGGACTTTTGATTAGTGACAAATTGAAACTAGGGAAGAATATGAATAGCTTGAGGGAAGGAGGACAAAAATGAGAAAATTACAATAGAAATTGACAGGAATAAGATGAAAGCAATCTTTTTTAAAGTATTCTGTTTAAAGCATAGCACAGAGAAAGCAATTTTGGGCCAAGTAATAAGGAATCATATGTTCATTAACAAGAATTACAAATAATTAGTTACTATTAAGACAAGTAAGACAGACGATGAATTAAATTCTTTCCTGAGGAGTGACTAGGAGAGAAGAATAGGGAATATGCAGAGATACCTCTGCTTTCTAAGGAAATCACCAGAGCCTTGCCTGTGGAAAATGTGTACATTTAAAATTTTGATTATTTTTCTTTTAATTCTGTATATGTCAATGTAACCTCACAGAAAACATGAATATAAAAAAAAAAAAAAACCTGAAATGGAAGGGGCAAACCAGGACTAGCATTGCATATGATACATAGAAGCTGTGAAGAAAGCAAAGCAACAGCAGGCTATTCAGCACCAAATTCTGACTTGGAGCTGTTTTTAAACCTTCTCTGGCAGAGGTATTGGTTACTTTTCTGAGGTACATACCTTGGGGGAACGTATCTTTATCTACGTCAGGTTGTAAAAGCATAGAGTCAGTTCTTTCTATCTTGTGTGACCTTATTACTCAAAGATTACTTTACTTTCTGTATCAAGCCTTATTGAATTCATAGGACCTATCCTGCAGCACAGGCATGTGCTAGACATAGGTTTAAGGCAGGGTATTGTAGTCTTTATTCAAAATTGAAATTTCAAGGTGGTTATATTTTGTATATTGAATCCTGAGACAGTCATGGACAGGTAAATTGATCATGAATAGTTTTACATATGTGCAGCAAATTGGATGCATTGGACCAGTTGATCCTGGGCTGCCAGATGTCCAGAATACCAACTGGGATCTGTGAAAGTACAAGAAAAGCTGTGTTTCATTACTTGTTCATGTAGGACTTGGCCACGTAATACAGAACACCCAAAGCTTCCAGTAACAGGAAAAGTTTGTGTAAGCTAACTGGTGAGCTAGTGTATTCCAGTCAAGGAGAAGAAATACGCAAGTGGTTAGATTTTTTTTTTCCATTTAGTGTGACCATTTGGTACTATTTTGTCATTAAAGCATAATCCAGTGATGACTGTCGTATCTTTAAAAAGGGTATAGATACCTTTTAGTAAGTCTCTTGCTCCATTAGAAAGCAGCGCGCAATGGCGAAGGTACGTTCCAGCATGACTGACTATCTGCAGATTCACCTAGTTAGTGTTACTAACAAAAGGTGGAAGTTGGATCTGCTTTTGGGTTTGTCTTGCAAATATGTCCATGTAATCTTGTTTTGATGAGACACGGGTGTTCGTATCATTGCGGTTATAACTAGGTTTGAAAATTACCGCTGCATTTGTATTAATTATAGGAAGATAGCAAGTATTTTGTGCTATTCATACTAGCTTAACACAGAATGGTAAAATTCATCAAAATGGTCAGCATGTCTAAATTGCGATCCGGAGAAGACAATTCTCGTGACTTGGAGAACTTTTAGTAGTTTCAAATACTGGTTTTATTCTGTTCTTCATAATAAGAACTCTAACTGGTTCACTTCATTGTGCGTGTTTGGGTTTTAATGTTTGGCTAAAGGTAAACTGAGGCTGCAGCTCCAGGAGCAGCAGAGGCAATTTAATAATTTGCTCCAAGAAATGAAGGTAAAGAGGGGGCTTCCCCTCTGCTTCCTTGCTCCCAGTTCCATGGTTCAGCCACCTTCTCATGTCAGCTTTGGCTCTTCTCGAACCTCCTCTAAATCACTTCAGCTTACAAGCTCAGCAGCAAACTGCCCACTTGTTGGGAGGAAGCAGAAGTTAGTGTTCTGCCACATTTAGGGAGCTGAGCTGGCTTCCAGAAGAGTCCAACTGCCAGAGCTGCGAGTGAAGGGAGTGGGGGAAAGAATGCTGGCAGGGGTGGACTGTGAGATGGACTCGCTCTGCCTGGTGAAAATGTGCTGTCTGTTCACAAGCCAAGCGGTGGCACGTTGAAGGAGCTGGAGAGAAGTGTTTCAGGGTACTCTCTGGTGAACAGAGCTGGGCATTTTTCTGAGTCAGAAGTGATTCCTTTTCTGTCTTTGCTTTTCTGTCCCACATACCCTTTTTTCTTGTGATTCCCTCCCTGCCCACAGAAGACCACACAAATAATCAGTTCTCATTCAGCTCGTGGAATAATTAAGCTGCAGAGGACTTTAATACTAATGTTGGAGAGACGAAATAGTGCATAATATTGGCACTAGGTCAGAAGTGGGACATTACAGCTCTGTCAGTAAAGCTCCTGTTTGTCTGCCAGAGTGCTTGACTGAAATTAGTAGTCTTAACTACTGATTGCCTTGATAGAGAAAACCCAAACCTGTATCCCACAAAGATAAAAGATAACTATCCCTTGAGTTATGACTTCTGAGCTGGAGCAATGTTCAGTAGTATTTGCTGGTGAGAACTACCCTACTAGTTTTCTAATTATTCTACCTGATATGGTAAAATAACTTAAGAAGCATTCTGGCACTGTGAACAAAGGAGGAGCACTCCATAGCCTTTCCAGAGTCTTTAGCAGTGCTTGTGCAGCCACATGCTTCTGAAAGCCACTAGAGAGCTGCCCCACAGATTCTTTTCATGATTCGTTATGGGATGCCTTTACGTGAAGGCAAAACCTGCTTATTTGCTGATAGATTTTTATTTTCTTTTGAGACTGCATCTGTTGATCAGTGCTGTGTTTTGCTTTTGCTGGATGTTCCTGACATATGGTACTACATTTCTTTCAGTCAGAAAAATCTTCTGAATTAATTGTAATATGTGAAAATGTTCAACTTTTAGAATGTGTTTATCTGCTTTATAGGCATTAGACAATTGGAAGAAAATGGTTTCATGAGTAATACTGCCTTTTCTAATTTATTACAATTATGTGCTGGATCATAGGTATGAATGGCTTGTTATACTATTCATTTTATTTTAGAGCTCACTGTGCCAAAAATATAAAATAAATCTCACTTTTTGTTTTTCTTTTTTTTGTTAGACGTTAAGGCTAATCTATACCACTACAGCAGTGCAGAGGAAAAATGTAGGAGCCTCAGGACCTGAAAAGTACACGGAGGCATTTATTAAAAAACAGATTGAAGAGTTCAACCTAGGAAAGAGACATTTAGCCAACATGATGGGAGAAGATCCAGAAACTTTCACCCAAGAGGATATTGATGTAAGTATGGTTGCTCTGTTGGAGAAGTAATTTACTGTAGAGTTTCAGATATTGAAAGCACTTTACTTCAGCATGAGCCCCTCAGCTTTCTGTGAATTTTAATCAAACTGTCAGAATAAGAAAGAATGCTACTATACATTGCAAACATTGCAACTGTGTCTGTGAATAGAGATTCTACCCCTGCTACCATGTGAGATCAGACATCACAGTATAGAGCTGTATACCATATCTTGCTGAAGCACAGTAGGTTCTTTTTAAAAGTCCTAATGGATAATCCCCTTGATCTGAGGTTATAAGAGGCACTGTAAAGGTTTATGTAGCACTTCGAAACGTTTACCCGCAATTTGACCTGCTGTGTATATTTAGGTCAGGTTTTCTTCTATGATACTGTGGTTGCTGGTAATGCAAATTAAATTTTATAGGATGTTTTACAACTAACACTCTGGTTTAGCTTAGGGATTTTAATATAGATGTGAATTTAAGCTCCTATCAGTAGCTCTAAACATACTGTTTTATTGCCATTCCCTCTGACAACTGACAGATGGGTGGCCTCCTCTTTCTCTGTGTCATTTAGGCTCACGTATAGATATGTTGCCTTTCACTCAGAAAAATGTTTTGTTGCACAAATTTTTTTTTTTTTCCATGTCCCACCTGGTCTTCACTTCTGTCATTTCTGTCTTATTTTATCACACATCAGAGGCAGCGAGAAGAAATGTCATTTGGTGACATTCACTCTTAGGTGAATCTGCGTGAAGTCTCATGGCTGAAGCTTTCTCTGCACAGCAGCAACACTTTAGCCATGGCAGCACAGTAGGGCCCTTAGGGTAGATGTAATGTGGTATGTGCCAAAAGAGAGGTGTGCGTGGTTCAGTTTTTTTCTTGTGGGGAGAAGATTGTTTGTTGCCTCTCTTGGTGGCAAAATTCTGTCAGCGTAGTTGTGTCCACATAAGAGATCTTGACAGCATGCTTATGTGAAGAAAGAGATGTACATCTGTAGGTGGTGATACAGGCTGATTTCAAACACATTTAATGGGCTTCAAAACTAAATTCTGAAAACTTCTCTGAAAACAGGCAGTAGAGTAGAGACGAGACACGCAGTTAATGGCCTACTGAGAAAAAGGCTGAAATGAGACTTGAGTCTTACCAGGTATCAGAAAATCCATAAGGGAAGCCTGACTTGAAGTCACAAATCTGTAGGAAATCAAGCTTTGAGTACAAAGCTATGCACTGATACTGCGACTACTCTCATTTAGAATAGTAGATATCACTTTGCTCTTCTACAGACGGGTGCCAATGCAGAGACCCTTCCAGTCTCAGTGTAGAGTGGACAAGGTCCTGTCAATAGTAAAAGTATTCATTGAGGCTTCTGGGTCAGCAGTAATAGCAGCCTCTTTCTTTACACTGGCTTTCTTATTTCTGTGCAGACTATGGAATTTCCTTTCCCTGTATTTTTTCAGGTTTTTTTTCTTACCTTTAATGACCTTTATCTTTTTAAGTTACTTTCTTGTAAAGTGTTTGTGCACAGACCTGCAACCAGAATACCTCCCATGTTAGTACAGTATGATGATGATGCTAATAGTTCAGTTTGTTTGCCCAAAAGGTTAATGGTAGGAGAATGCATTAATCTGCAGTCTGGCTTCCTTCCTTGATAGGGGAAGGCTTACAGACAGCAACACTGCAAGAAATGGAAAATGACCGTATCTAAGTAGTGGTTTCTTCTTTGTGAATCCACAGCACTATCATCGTTTGCACAAAATTAACTGAGCTCTGTCATTAGTAAAAACAGATTAATCCTGGAAACTAGCTTTTACAAATGCAGTGCAGGTGACAAGTACAGAACTGCTTTGCAGACTCTGTTTCTGAAAAGATGGAGAAGTAGAGACAAGGGAGTAGTGTTAGGTGACACCAAGTATCTGTGCTACATGTTTGATTTCTTCATATTCCATGAGGTGTTGGAAAATACTTAGAGTGTGTAATAGTGTCTGCTATGCATAATTAAATTTCCGTTATAAAAAATATAAAAGCTGCTTAAGCACTGGCAGGAGAATTATCAGGCTTTACATTTCGAACAGTAATAATTCTTTCTGATGAGTGCTTATATACCTCCATGTCTTCTACTGTTAATCAGTCTGTGCGGTGTATTTCAAAAGTAGACATCATAGGATTCTGTCTTTCACTGGAGTTTTAGGTGTAGTTTAATAAAAGCTAAACCTTGTGAAGTTTTAAACAGGAAAATAAGTTGACTGACTTGCTAATCCTTCTGGATGTTGTGGAAGCAGAATTGCCTCTTACTGTTACTTTTATTTAGGAATGAAAAGTTAAGCTGTGCATTACAACTGTATTTCTGGAGGAGAAAAAAAAATCCAGCAAATTGATATATAACTCTGCAGAAGTCTACCAATTGCTTTTTAATTGGTATTATAGACCTTACTCTGAAGCTAGGATGTTTTATTCTCCTATGTGTGAATATGTGCTATGAAGTTTCTCTAATTGATTTGCTTTGCCCATTCCATTTGATGTATCATTTTTCACAATATTTCATAATTTGTGCTCATTTCTAATGAACAGAGTCGTTAGGACAGGCATGTCTAAGTACAACTGACAGCTAACATTAGGTGCCAGATGCAGTTTATAAAGCTATGTAGAACTGCAGAGAACAGTTTAAATAAATTAGCACCTGTACATTAGTCTCACTTGCTGGTAATTTATAAGCGAATCAGTAGAGATGACATTTAGGTAAGTCATTGATCAAGTTAACAGCTGCATACCCACTGCCCAGCTGGGATACCTAATTAATAGAGATTGCAGTCCTGACCTAGTGCTTTTCCCTGGTTGAGTCTGTAATCCTTTTATTTTGTGATTTAACTTTAACTTGTGGTTGTAGTAAACAGCCCACCTTCATTTTCCACTGTCAGTTCTGTGATATTCTACTTAAAGCCCAGAAATCTAAGTAAGATTAATACAAGAAAAGCGTCTTAATCTTCATGACCTATTTATATGCCAGTATTTTTATTATTCATTTTTATGCAGTCACTAAATGCTCTCCCAGATATGACCTCATCATAAAGCAATACTCTTTCC